GGGAGCTTCACACAAAGCTATGCAGAGAGAGGACTGCTGCAGACGGGCTAACGATAGCCCTGGCTGCTGCAGACGGGCTAGCGATAGCCCTGGCTGCTGCAGACGGGCTAACGTCAGGTTAGACTTGAAAGTCCGCGGTTTGCATCGGTTCTCTAAACGTCGGAAATATAAATGAAAAATTCGCCACCTTGAGTTGAAACTGTCAAGCAGGTTATAGAAGCTAATTTTATTGGATGACAGTGAAATAAGTGAAGCCTTGTCCCCATTTGGCCACACAAATGACTGGAAACAGGTCAGGCAAGTGAAGGCGCAAGAACAAGGCGAAAAGGTCAACAGGAATCAGGGTTTGTTTCCAATGAAAGTTTTTTTCTATTGATTGTAAAACAACCAAGAGCCATAGAAATAGAAGTCCAGTTAATTTGATTAAAGGCGATGCATCATTGACCATATCTATTCTGCCATGAAATGTTTCTCTTGGTTGAATGTACTTCAGATTTAAATGGCAAACTGCCACTAGTATGAGCCAAGGTGGGTTTAACTTTAATCACACAAACCTACCTGATAAACGGCCCAGATTAGTTTTTTCTGAGTTTTCTCGTCTCCCTCAGAGGTTTGAACGTTCCTGAGAATGATTTGCTGTTGTAGTTCAGTTATATTCAGGCACCATTCCCCCCCCCCTTTTTTTTCTTTCCCCCTACAGCCCGGAGATGACATTGTTTTCATGGCACAAACATTGGAAAAAGCCTTTTTGCAGAAATTGTCTCAAATGCCAAAGGATGAAGTGATTGCTACGACATCTTCACTTGAGCCAGAGAAAGTGAAAAAAAACAACACAGGTGGGGGAAAAACGTGGCAGTACATGTGAAAAAACCTTCAAACAACATAATCCTGGTTATGTTAAAAATTCCTGTTTCCTGGAAGCAGATGCAGGAAAGCACAAGAGTCGTTTGTCAGAGCTTGTTTTCCATCAGATGGTAACAGTTCACCCTCCACATGTGGCTCAAATGGACCCAACCAATCAACAGTCTGCAAAAACACACAGAACTGTAAGCGTTAAATCTCCTGATATTACGATAGCCTGAGTGTGGATTTGAATGATGATACAGACTTCTGCTATCTGAATATGCAGATAAAAAAAACCTGTAAGAAGAGAGCTGACATGGCAATACCCACTACCTCTGTATGCCCAAACCCTGAGGTAACCCCTGACGAGGATCCTTCCAAAGCTTGCTTGTTGCTGTCCAGAACAAGCGGCAAGAGACCCATTAAGCCTCCTAAGAAAGATTTGGCTGATTTTGAGCACAAGAGGGTCAAAATGACAGAACAGCTGAGGTACTGCAGCAATATCCTGAAAGAGATGCTCTCCAAAAGGCACTATGCGTATGCCTGGCCCTTCTATACACCAGTGGATGCCGAGGCTTTGGGTCTGCACGACTACCATGATATAATCAAGCAGCCTATGGACCTGAGCACCATCAAGGTAAAACTACTGAAAAAATCTAAACGTACGTAGAAAGCCAATAACTGTACACGTTTAAAGCTCCAGGTTCTTTCCTACCTGAGGTTTCCTTTTTTTTTTTTCCTAGAAAAAAATGGATCATCAAGAATATTCAGACCCCAAGGAATTTGCAGCTGATGTGCGCCTGATGTTTTCAAACTGCTACAAATACAACCCGCCATCGTATCACGTGGTTCTAATGGCAAGAAAACTGCAGGTGTGCTTTTCGTTCTGATTTTTGGAGATGGTATGCTGGGAATAATCTGGCATGACTTTTATTTTTTTCCTGTATCCTTAGGCAAGTTTTCTGTCTAGCACAGTCCAAAAAGCAATACAAAAATGTGTAAAAATGTCCTAAGTCTACCTACCCTTAATTTTGTAGGTCAATAAGATCTGCCAATGGAATGAGTATTTTTTGCCATTGAAATAAGTAATACTATTGGATATTATGCACTTATCATATTTCTTTTTTTTTGCATTTTAATTTTAGTTAGTAAAGCAGAGTAGATGATTGTGCAATTTGACCATAAATATAGCTTTTAGTTGTTTGCCGTGAATATTGCCCCATCAATATTGCAAGCAAAGAATATGGTTTAGTTGAAATAAAAAACAAAAAATGCAATCCAGAAATGAAACTTGGAAAAACATAATTATAGATTTATTTATTTATGTATTTTTGGGGGGATTTTCAAACTGCTTTCTTTTCCAGGGTCAACAGCAGATATTATTGTTGGACTTGCAGGGATGAGAATGTGATCAGTGAAATTCTATTAAAGAACAAAATTCATAAAACTTGATCTGTAAAGTAAATTTTTGGAAAAATTATGCGTATTGCTTCTTAAAATCCACCCAGTCGCCGTCGACCATTTTTAAAGCGTTTACAATCAATAACTCAACGCTTATGACACCCAAAGCAAAGCCCCGCAGCTCTGGAACTGTTATAATTAGAGGTCTGAAATTTTCTGCAGTTGTGGGTGATATGATATAGAACAGATGTAATACAATGAAACATGCCTATTCTCAAACATGTTTTTCTATTACCGTTGTTCAAAAAAGTCCTATTTTTAGAAACTAGGTGTTAGCTCTCAAAATGATGTATCACACATGTAATTTGGGCTTACAGATCCTCAGTTATTTGCTTTTCCATTTGGGTATGCAAAAAAAAGGATTACCCTAAATTAGGTGGGTGTTAAGAGGTTAAAAAATAAAATATAAAAACAATTTTGGGGAAAAAAAAATTAAAATAATGAAAAATGGCAAATGACATTCAGAAACTATTTTTTTTTTTTTGGTTAAGCAGTTTTTCAGAGTTTTCAGAGATTTCAGCAGCTATATGTTTGCTTAAAGTCTGGTTACATTCAGAATTTAAACTTCTGAACTATTTTAAATATGAAATTCTTACAAACTGTCCAATAAATGAATAAATAAGTGTTTTTAATTATGAGTAATTTTGATTTGAATGTGCTTTACTGGAGGCATCCATGTTTGTCAAAGAACACTACTGCCACCTACTGGTTAGTGACGTCACGGTGCGGTATCGGCTGTTGATCAAGTCCCAGTGCTGTATCTGGTGTTTGTCACAACGCGCTATTATCCAAGTCATCTTGAAAACATTCTTCTTCCAAATGTTGGCTACATATTACGCACATACATAGTTCGTATAT